TCAACTCAGGCTCCTTCTTCTCTTATGACTCTAGCTTGTGTCAAGTTGACACACAAAACCAGCCGGTACAAGTGGCAAAATGGATTTCTTCAAAGCCAGCTCAGCATGCAGAGGAGTGACTCTCACAATGGATCCCTTGATGTGTTAAGGCTTGTGAGAACCATGGGCTTTTCTGCAGTGAAATCTGCCAGTCAGTTTTTCCAGGGCCAAGTGGCTTCCCTTGTGCTTGTGAGTTTGGCTCCTTCTGCCTGGGGAGCAGCGTGGATCCCTGCGCTATTTTCTGCTTTTCTCAGAGCAGTCTGTCTTAGCCACACTTGCCAGTGCCCTGTCATCTCTCTTGTGAGACCCAATGCTTTTCCTCTTTTTATCCCTGAGGATAGAGCCTGTCCTTTGACCCTGACTCCTCTCACACAGGAGAAGTTTCAAGCTGCCTTTGCACCTGGCCTTGGGAAGCATATGTCTTAGTGATTCTGTGTGTTTAATAGGGTTGCAGGTATCCTTGTGTGAAAGTTGGTGTTTTGTGATTTCTAGAATTTGGCAAGTTTAATCTAAATAATACTTTTTGACACTGAGGTCTTTGTAGTGATCCTTTTGCAGGAGGTAACCAGACCCAGATCAAAAATGCAAGCTGTCCCCTCTCCTATGTGGATACCACAGATGAATCTTTAGATGTGTATATTGAAACTAGAGTACCTATAGAATCCAGGAAGGTAGAGAGGAGTTGTGGAAGGAATTCAAGCAAAGGGGAGACAGAATGCAGGTGGTACAGATGGGGAAAGGAGAACAGTGGAACCGGAAGGGTTAAATGGGGCAGGGGATTTGAGGGCAGGAAACAAGAGAGGATATAGGAAGAGACAACCAACAGTAAAGGCCTTTGAAAAGGCCAAATGGAAGCCTTCTATTGTTAAAGACTCCTAAAAAACACATATAGACACATATCGAAGGAGCTTAAATGGTATACCCTATAATAGGAGACAGTGACTTCCTTAGGCTCCATATGCTATCAAATAGAAAGACAAGCACTGGCAAGTGTTACTGTTATTCAATTTGGTATGGAATCTCTGAAACATTATAGTTTGCTGGCTATAGTTCTATCCTTCAGAACTTGGTGTTAAGACTATATGGAGATAAACACATAGAAACATCTAACATTGAGAAATCATGCTTGCTTGGACCTGGAAGTTTTAACCCCACTGGATAGCTTCATAGTAGAAATTTTATTGGCTCTAATAGTGGAAAAAGTATTCCATACTCTAACCCTTCTTTGAGGTAGAAATTTCTATTGGCTCTAATAGTGGAAAAAGTATTCCATACTCTAACCCTTCTTTGAACCCTATAGGTTAGGTGAAGTTTGGCCTAGCAGAATGGGACAATAGTGGCACTCATGTTATGAGAATAACCATCCACTTTATGATTGTATCTTAGGGTCATGCCACAAGAGAGAACTTACTCCTGGTATAGAAATGTTAAATGAGCACAATAAAAAGCAGTCCACTAAGTTCATATCTCCATACCCATAGATTAGTGCACATCACAACCCGAATCAGAAAAGCTTCTTTTTACACTATATGGTGCCTACCACAGACACTCAGAACTGGCCGTCATTCAGAGAATAAGAGACTGTGAAATGTTCAGCTCTGAAAGGACAGCTGCGTCACACCTCCTCTACATGCAGGTCATTGCAGAACAGGGAGGGAAGATTCTAAGAGCCATGGGTAGTGAACGTTAGCAGGAAGGAGCATGCTGGACATGAGAAGGCTATTGTTCACATAACCTCACAGTGGCTGTGACTAAGTGCACAAGACATGCACAAGATGGAGGCAGTAAAAACCCCAGCATGGATTAGGGACAAGGTCACAAAGCCCCATCTTTTGGAGAAGCTTTTGGATGTTGATGACTACTAGGGTAAAGAGAGTAAACTTCCTTCAGGATTGGGGCCCATGAAAGGGGCCATGCTCCATTAGATTGTCTTATACCATGCACCCACAGGGAACACTAGGTAAATCCATTGGGGGAAAAAGCAAGAGCTAGGGCATAAAGCCAGAAGGGAAAGGGGGAAAGGGATAGTGGAGGAATTGGTAGGGTATAAATAAGGATTTGAATGCCTTATGTAGCAAGGTTGCAGAGTTTATATAGTTTATATGTGAAATATTTTGCCACAATAATACACATGGAAGACATCTCTATGTTATAAACCTGCTTTATTTAGCAATTTCAAGAAAGGAAGGAGCAGAGAGGACATCACATGAGAGCAAACTCTGTACATCACAGGACTGTTGACTTGTGCTATCACAGTTACTGCCAGGGAGGTTTGACATTGAAGTTAGGGTTTTCTCAGGTCACATGAAACTAAAGGGAACCTCCGGTGTAGTTGAGTAGTACCAACAATGATTTCCAGAATAGCAGGGACAGAGACACCCTTTCACAGGCAGCCTCAGAGACAGACCCAGTGAAACAAGAGCCTGGAAACAAACCTACAATTTGCAGCACCGACTGTAAGTGAATTGTGATGTGAAGTCAGACAGAGGTTGACAATCAAAAGATGAGTAATGGGAACCCAGAGGTTAAGAGGCAGAGAAGCAACAAGGACTCAGCCCTCAGCCCTAACCAGAGAGCAGAGGTGAAAGGCCAGCAAGGACAGCCCCTGAGCACAGGGCTCTGCAGCCAGGGGACTGGGGATCAGGGACACATTCTGGTGGCAGGGACTTCAGTGCCTGTAGCTCTTCCTGCTGGAGGAGGTGGTGGTGTACTTGATGGTGGAAGAGCTGCCACCAGAGGAGCTGAGGCCACCACTGATGCCTCTGCCACTGCCAGAACTGAAGCCACCTCCAAGGCCATGGCTACTGCTGTAGGAGTAGCTGCTGCCTCCTCCTAGGCCCAAGCTGCTGCTGGCACCACCTGCACTGCCATAGCCGCTGGACACGGTGGACTGCACCACAGCTGTGAAGGAGGCAAGCGGGGGCAAGGGTCACCGTGAGCCCATTCTGTTCAGTGAGCCAGACACAAGGCAGGGGTAAGCTAGTGGTCTAGCATAGTACTTACAGATGTTGACTGGTCCAACACCTTCACCATACAGCCTGGAAGAGGAACAGAGCAGGTGAGAACTAGGGAGCCATGACCTCAGTCCCCTTTGGAACCCTCAGTCTGGTGACAGTTCACAGAGAATCCCCTGGCTGAGTGGTTCCTGAAGGTAGCCATTGTGGCCACAGCTGGTGCTCCCTCATCTTGAACTCAGTGCCTAGAGACATGGAGGTGTCCTCAGGGGCTGGAGGAGGGGTGAGCACTCACCTGCACTCCTCTCCTTCCAGCAGCTTCCTGTAGGTGGCGATCTCCACATCAAGGGCCAGCTTGACATTCATGAGCTCCTGGTACTCCTTCAGCAGCCTGGCCATGTCCTGTTTGGCCTTCTGCAGGGCATCCTCCAGCCCTTCCAGCTTGTTCTTCTCTCAGAACTATGATTACAAATGTGTACTACCGTGTCCAACATCACATGAATTCTGGGTATTCAAATTCAAGTCCTTGAGCTTATGTGACAAGTTTGTTGTTCACTGTGCTGTTGCTCCAGTCCCCAAGGACTATTTTTGAGGATCACACCACACTTTCTTATACCATTGCATGCCCATATGGAGAGAGCGGTGGATGCTCAGAAGATTGCCAGGTCTGTGACTTCCTCCCATCTCAGAAACCCTCATAACTTTGTGTTCTTTATTTCTCTGCTCCTTCTCTGCTCTCAGTCCCCTGGAATCTCCATCAGACAGAGAACATGTATGTGAGGTTTTGCATGCAAAAACAAATTCACTTCTAGGTGACCTGCACTATCATTAGTGTAATGGCTTTTCCTCAGGAGAAGCTGTGGGAGAACATGGACTACATAGCTATCTTGATAACTGAAAATGTTCTGTGTAACCTCATGAGGACCCTTATTCCCAGTACAGCTCACAAAAGGAGAACTGGACCCCATTTATGGCAACTTTCTTCTACATCTGGGTTCTTTTGACCCTTGGATTACAACACAATTCTGTAAAGCAAATGCAAGATCCATTAGCTATATGAGGACCTATTTCTTTTTGGTAGATCTCTAATCTCCTATGAAATCAGAGCTTATGGAATTAATTGTGAGTCCCAGATATTCTTCATCAGCCTCCAACTCAGTACTCACTTTCGTCTGGTACCAAGATTCAGCCTCAGCCCGGCTCCTCTGAGCAATCTCCTCGTATTGGGCCTTGACCTCAGCAATGATGCTGTCCAGGTCCAGGCTGCGGTTGTTGTCCATGGAGAGGACCACAGATGTGTCTGAGATGTGAGTTTGCATCTGAGACAGTTCCTACAGAACAGAAAGAGGCAACATCTGCTTTGGATGTGAGGGTTACAATGTTCCCAACATCCCACTCTCTGTTTGCACAGGAGAATGTAATGGAAATAAGGCCTAAGTGGAAGAGTGAGAAGAGAGAGAGAGACAGACAGACAGACAGACAGGGGGAGAAAGAGAGAGAGAGAGAGAGAGAGAGAGAGAGGGAGAGAGAGAGAGAGAGAGGAGAGAGAGGGGGGGGAGGGGGAGGCACATTACTGCATCAAAGACTGTTCTCAGGAAGTTGATCTCATCTGCCAGACTGTCTGCCCTGCCTTGCAGTTCAACCTTATTCATATAGGCTGCATCTACATCCTGAGGAAACAGTGAACAACATGGAATGAGGTTAACTCTTCTTACACTGTCCATTTACCTCAGTCTCCCTGGCAAACAAGCTCTGGAATGGACCAGACATGCAAATCATTTCACTCCATCATCAGAAAAGCAATCCTATGACTTAGCTCACCTTCTTCATGGTCACAAATTCGTTCTCTGCTGTGGTACGCCTGTTGATTTCATCTTCATATCTGTGAGAGGGAAGGTATATCACATTGTAGCCAGTGAGTAGATGGCATCAAAGGCAGCCTGAGACCCAGCCCTAATGTCCATAAATGCAATGTATCCAAATCATACTGAAGGTGGTTTTGTTGTTATTGAATAGTTCATTCCTTTTCTCTCCCCAAGCCCCCTATGACCTTCCATGTTCTTAGTCTTTTGTTCTTTGCAAAAATGAGTCACTTTACCTTTATGGCCTACCTAACTTAATTCATTGATTACTTGCATGTCCAAATTTTAGTCTGCATTATCATGACATTTGGCATCCCGATTTATTTTCTCTTTTAATTATAACTCACTTGTTCTTGAAGTCCTCCACTGTATCCTGCATGTTCCTCAGCTCTGAGTCCAGGCGGCCCCTCTCCCCAAGGATGCTGTCCAGCTGCCTCCTGAGGTTGCTGATGTACTGCTCAAACATTGGCTCCAGGTTCTGCCTCACGGTCTTCGTGCCCTGCTCCTGCAGCAGGGCCCATTTGGTGTCCAAGACCTTGTTCTGCTGCTCCAGGAACCGCACCTGGAGGGGCCACGTGTGAGCAGAAATTTGAGTTTCATTCTTATGTGACCCTTCACTAGTGTGATGCCTGTCTCAGGCTGTCTGCCTAAACCCATTCAGTGTATGCAGTGCCTGGCCCCAGGGTCTGAGAGACAATCCAGAGTGGAGCTCCCAACATCTTCCCTCTGAGGAAGGCAGAACTCTCAGGCAGGGCATAGGCAGCTTAGTTAGTATGGCTGGGATGATTCCCAAACTGCCCTGTGGAGACTTCTACCTCAGGAGTGTCCTTTGCGATATGAGGCCTGAGCTCATTTTAGCTCAAATGAGTCAGACACCCTTATGTTGCCACCTCTGGTGGAGAGGAACTCTGCCCCTGATTGCCAGCTGCTAGTCTGACTAAAGAGGAGACAAAGCCAGGACAGAGGCAACCAGAAACAATGGCAGTGTTTGGGCAAAGCCTAGAGTATCTTCCCTCCTCCATTGCCTTTGACTTTCCCTCCAGAGCCTGCTCCTGCATAGGCTGTTCTAGAAAGAACCACGTCTCACCTTGTCGATGAAGGAGGCAAACTTGTTGTTGAGGGTCTTGATCTGCTCACGTTCCTCAGTCCTCACCCTCTGGATTGTGGGGTCAATTTGCAGGTTCAAAGGGGTGAGGAGGTTCTGGTTAATGGTGACCTCTTGGATGCCTCCAGGGGGGCACACAGGGAATCCAGCACCCCCATAGCCAACACCAAAACCTGCTCCACCACTAAACCCAAAGGCACTGCCTGCTCCTCCAAAGCCAAAGCGTCCTCCAACTAGGCTGCCATAGCCTCCCCCAATGCCATAGCCGCTCCCTCCGATGGAGATCCTCTTGGAACACCCCAAACCATAGAGACTCCTGCTGCCAAAGCCAGCTCCTCCACACACAGCCCCAGAGCCACCACTGCCCCGGGAGCGGCACACAGACACACTGCTGAAGCCAGAACGGTTGAGCCCTGGCACTCTGGCTGAGGTGGCAGGGAAGCCACGGTGGCTGGTTTGACTCCTGATGGTGGTTTTGGTAGACATGTTTCCTGTAGATGAGAAGTCTGTGAAGTGGAGGTACTGCAGGGCAGGGCTGGGTAGATTAGGGTGATAGGCTCTGGGCAGCTGCTTATATATGGTATAGATGGGCTGGGCTAGGTCCTGAAGGTGAGCTTGTAGAGTGGGAAGTCCAGGGCTTTACACACTTGGAGGTCACACCTAGATTATTCAAAAATGTTGTGAAATATCAAGGTTGCAGTTTTGGCTTCCTTTAGTCATGAAAAATATTGCAGCCTCTAGTTTTTACTTGATGTGAGTACGGTAAATCAGTTCTTAATTCACTTGGTCTCAGTTACTCACCAATATAGTTTCTGCAGTTCCTGCTGAATGAATGAGAGCCCTCTCCTCCTCACTTTCACAGAGATATGGAGATCAACTGTTGTCTGATGCCAACAGAAAGTGTCTTACACTTACAGAAAGATCTTGGCTGACTTTCAGTGTTTAGGGATGTGAACTACAAACTGTTTTTCTTTAGATCTGATTTCAAACAGATACAAAAGCCAACAATATATTTACTTCACACCTCTGTCACCAGCTTTATGACAAACAGCTCACAGCCAGACTTATTGTTTTCATATTTCCAATCAATTCACTCACCAACCATATAATATTTCAAAGTAGTTCTCAAAATATCCAATTTCTTCAGTAATTAAGCCAATATTATATCTAAACATAATTTGCTTTGTACATATGTAGAAAATGACCATATGTCTTCATATATATAAATATATATATATGTATATATATACATATATACATATATATACATATATATATATATATATATAATTATTCAAGGGACTGTAAAGACTGAGCACTGGTGAATAGTATTGTTGCCCTTGCAGAGGACCTGACTTTAGTTCCCAGCATACACAAGGTGGGTCACAACCATCCATGAATCAACTTCCAGGGTATCTCATGTCTTCTTCTGACATCTGAGGGCACCAGACACATCCACACACACACATATACTTACATTCACAAACATATTCCTACACATGAATAAATATAACTACAGAAATGGTTGGTTTTTCTATTACCCTTGTTAGTATAATTTTGAAATATTTTGTTTTAATTTGCAAATACATTTATCTCATGTTTTATATAGCCCATAGATCTTAAATATTTTCACAGAATCTATGATTATCTTATAATCTTTCATTCTCATAGTCACTCAAAAAATGCTCATAGGTGTTTTGCCTGAATGAATGTCTGTGAAACGCTTGTGTGCCTGGTTCCCCTGCAGGCCAGAAGAGTGAGTCAGATTCCAATAGTTACCAGAAGGTTGTGAGCTGTGAGCCACCATGTAGGAGCTGGGATGTGAACCCAGGTCCTCCTCAAGAGCAGACAGTGCTCTTAACTGCTGAGCCCTCTCTCGAGCCCCTCTCCTAATACCTAGTCTGTAAATGAATCCAGATTAGCTGTCCTTCTCAGTGTTTCAGATGGTCTTTTCTACTTAATTGTTTCTGGTGTTTGCTGTAACAGGCCACCGTGTCTATCCTGTTTTCTGTAAACTTAAATCACCAGTCTCAATGAGAAATATTCAAGCCACTCAGGGGTGGTCACACATCCTGCAGCTCTTGTATTTTTCAGGATACTTTTAACTTCCATATGAAGCTGAAAGTTTTCCTGTTAAAATCTGTGAAAAATTGTGTTGGAATATTGTTGGGATTGATGGCTATTCTTGTTTATTTACCCTTCTGATCCATGTGTGTATGTGATCTTCCCATATTCCTGGTATCTTCTTCCATACCTTAAACTTCATATCATACAAGTCTTTTATTTCCTGGGTTAGTTTCATGCATTTTGTATTTGAGGCTATTGTGAAAAGTGTTGTTCACTGATTTCTTTCTCAGGTGGTTTCTCATTTGTGTATAGGAAGGGTACATATTGGTGAGTTCCTCTTGTATCCAACCATTTGCTGATGGTGTTTATCAGCTGGAGGAGATTCCAGGTGGGCGTTTAGGGTCACTCATACACAATGTCATATCATCTGCAAATGGAGAGCTTTGGCTTTTTCCTTTCCAATTTATATGCCCTTGATCTCTTTCAGTTGCCTTATTGTTCTAGTTAAGACTTCAAGTACTGTATTGAATAGGTCTGGAGAAAGTGGACAGCTTTGTCCTGTTCCTGATTTTAGTGGAAATTCTTTGAGTTTTCTCTCCATGTAAGTTGATGTTGTCTGTGCGCTTGATATAACCTGCCTTTACTATGTTGAGGTATGTTCCCCGAATTCATAATATCTCCAGGACTTTTACTTTGTAGTGGTGGTAGGTTTTAGCAAAGGCCTTTTCTGCAGGTAATGATGGGATCACATGATTTCTGTTTTTCAGTTTGTTTCAATGGTAGATTTCATTTACATATTCATTTACATGTGTTGAACCAGCTCTGCATGTCTGTGATGAAGCCTGCTTGATCATGACGATCTTTTGATGTGCTTTTCAATTTGATTTGCAAGTACTTTATGAGAAATTTTGTATCTATGCTCATCAGGGAAATTGGTCCTTAATTTTCTTTTTTGTAGGGTTTTTATGTGGTTTGGGTATCAGGGTAACTATGGCCTCATAAATCATTTGGGCAATGTTTCCTCTGTTTCTATTTCATGGAATAATTTGAGGAGTATTGGCATTAAGCCTTACTTGAAACTCTGGTAGAATTCTGATGAAAAACTCATCAGGCCTGCCTTTGTTTTCATTGGAGAATTTTAATGACTGCTTGTATTTCACTGAGTTTACAGGTATGTTTAAATGGCTTATGAGATGTTAACTAAATATCAGTAAGTGGTATGTCTTGAGAAAATGATCAGTGTCTGTTACGATAAATCTTTCTGCCAAAGCTGCCTGTGCCCCACCACCACGTGTGAGCTTTATGCCAGCCGCCTGCCCGAGTTAGGCCCAAATGAATACACAGAAACTTGTATTAGGTTCAATGCTGCTTGGCCAATGACTAGGATTTCTCATCTATTAGCTCAGTCTTAATTATCATAAATCTATATATTTTATAAGACTTATCGGACACCTTATTGGTGTCCCTCCTTGCTGGGATCACATCTTGCCACTGGAGCAGGAGCCGAGGGGAAAATGGGGCCCTTCCTGTTTCTCCTTCGCTTAAATATGAGTCTCCTTGCTATGTCACTTCCTGCCTGGATCAGCACTTCTCTACTACATTTCCCAGAATCCTCTTTGACTCCTAGTCCCGTCTACTTGCTGTCTCATTGGCCAAACAGTATTTTATTTAACAAGGTGTGCTCTTAATATATCTTCAATTTCCTTTTGTAGGCTCTTAGTGTTGTGAACTTACCTCTTAGTACTGCCTTCATTGCATCCTATATTTTTGATATGTTGTATATTCAGCTTCATTCAATCCTAGAAATCTTTAATCTTTTTCTTAACCCATTTTTAATTCAGTAGTGAGATAATCAGTGCCAATGAGTTTGTAAGCTTTCTATTATTTCTGTTGTGATTGGCATCCAGCTTTAATCAGACAGGATGTATGCAGGGGGTATTTCAATTTTCTTGTATCTGTTGAGATTTGTTTTGTGTGCCTGAGTATATGGTCAGTTTTGGAGAATGTTATATGTGGTACTGAGAAAAAGGGATATTCTTGTTTGTGTGTTCAGGTGACTTGTTCTATAAATATATTAGATCCATTTGGCCTATACTGTCTGTTAGCTTCAGCATTACTCATTTAGTTTTTGTCTGTCTTTTGATCAGAGTCAGGTAAGGAAGTCTCCCACTATCAATGTGTGAGGATACATATATGATTTCAGCAGTAGTAGTGTGTCTTTTACAACTTGGCTGGCCTTGTGTTTCATACATAGAGGTTAAGAAATGCTATGTCCTTGGCAGAAGCTATTTTCAAAAGAATTAAAGTTTTGAAAAAGAGGAAAGAAAAAGGCAGAGCTGAGTTTCACAAAGTGAGAAAACACACGCAATAGGGAATGTCATATTCATCTGGCCTAACCTTAGCCAGTTAATGTTTTTAATGCTGCTTTGCCTCTCCTTGGGTCAGAGACCTGAACAGCAATGAAAAACAACAACAATACCAAATCAGACCCATTCCTTGGGAAAGAAAAGTGCCCTTAGCTACCCAAGTGGTTCCTTCTGTATCCATTACACTTTAATAAGAATCTTGATCTTTGTTCAAGATCAACAGGCAAATAAATAATTCACTGGGGCTAATTTCAGAATGAGTATACAAGATGCTAAGATTTTTGGTGTTTTTTCCCTACAGGGAACTCTAACTTAGTGAGGTGCTCATTTACAAGATTTGACTGTTAGTTAAGTGATTATGAGTATCTGGGCCGGTCAGTGGTTGTGCACGCCTTTGATCCCAGCACTTGGTAGACAGAGGCAGGGGGATCTCTGTGAGTTCAAGGCCAGCCAGGTCTACAGGTGAGTTCCAGGACAGTCAGGACACTTACATAGAGAAGCCCTGTCTTGAAAAACCAAAAACAATAAAACAAGGGGAAAAGATGAAGAAAAGAAAGAGAATTTGGGGTGTTTGCAGATGGGGCCAATAATATCAGTGGGGGTATCAAGCCTCAAACTGAGGAATTACAGTATTTTATCCTTCTTTTTCATGGGTCTTGCAGACTCCCTCTTGTCCAGAAATGTGGAACTATAGCAATGCCTGCAGTTTCTGTCATGTCACAAGCTGAATTAAGCCCAGTCATCTACAGTATTTTAGAAGCTGTTCCAATGGCCACAGAAGGCTCAGACAGGCCATTTGCTTATGTCAATACCTAGCCATGTGTCCAGATGGGAGTCATGGGCACCTCTATGCCCACCAGGAAGATCTGTCCACAAAGCATGTGACCAGCTACAAAGCTATTTAAATCATACATGCATCCCTTCACTCAGAATCAGAACTGATTAATATTCTGGTTACGACTCAGGCTTTATTGGGGGTCCTGAGGATAGCTCATTTCCTGGCCTTGTCCTTTAGCTAGGCATTCCTTTAATGTCTTTTAAATGTGGAAATTAAAGTGCACATAATATAGAATTCTCCTCTTTAAAGGGTACAAAAGGGTACTAAATGACAGCCTAACATCTCGTCACAGGATATTTGGAAATCATTTCTATGATTTCCAAAAGAAGATTTGAACTGGTTAGAAGTTATCCTAAATTCCCCATCCCCCCATCCTTGTATAGAACTCA